CAGCGGTCACAGGAACCCAACAGTGTGACATGATGGTGTCATGATGCAAAGTTCCTAAAAATGCAAACCCCACATCTCAGCAGTCACGCGCTTGATGAGGCTAATGAAGAAAAAAGTGTGTGTGTCTGAGTGTGTGGTCCAAAACATGCACTCTGAAACTCTGTTTGTAAATTGCTACAAAGCCTGTCTATCAAAAGAGGAGAGGCTAAATTATGACAGTTTCATTCAGTGGGATGGGACACTCTGTGGCCATTCAAAGACCAGGGTAGATCATTACATCGAATTTATTCGAGTCAGCAGAAGGGCTGCGCCAAGTGTGAGGGCTTCTTTGAAGGGCTTCTTGCAAGGCCCGGAGTAAAGAAAAGGCAAGGGAAGCCACTACAGATGCCATCCACTGGAAGAACCAGAGTGGGCCCTACGAGGGTGTATGGGCCTCTTTCAGAATCTCCCAACTTCCCCTGAACCACCAGGTTTTTGTCTGCCCTCCCTCCAAGAAATAAAAGGGAACCAAGGACCAGGTTTGTTTGTTTGTTTGTTTGTTTTTGCCATGGGGGAACAACCAATTAAAGAGAGTAAGGACTCAGACTCCCTGTGGCGATGGGACACCAAATGAGAGGGCTTGGTTGCATTCCCTGCTGAGAGCAGTCCTTTGTGGAGTGGGTGTGCAGGTCAGATCCAGTTAGATGGTGTCTGCTTGGGCCTGTAGCTGCCCGGGGGCTGGGTTCTCATGACAGTACCTCACCCTGCTCTTGCCTATCCCCTGCAACATATCCAATTTGAGACGCTGTCCACACCCAAGACCCTGTCAAGGTTCCCCATTACCTGTCTACCCAACAGAACCCTACACCCCATGCCGGGTCAGGCTTCCTTACCTGCCAGTCTGCTGGGCCACAGCAGCTCACCACGCCACTGCTTGTGTGGGCAGGCTGTCTCCTCACTCTGAAACTCTGTTTGTAAATGGCTACAAAGCCTGTCTATCAAAAGAGGAGAGGCTAAATTATGACAGTTTCTTTCAGTGGGAATGAATGTCCTTGGCTCTCGGCAGTGTCTATGTGGGAAGAAAACCCCTTTGGTTTCTCTGGGTTCCTTCTTGCTCAATGGCTGGTTCAAGTCTCCCACCTGCCCCAAGGTAGTTGTGTTGCACCCCGGCTCCAAGTGATCTGTCAGTTTTGAAGCATTCCAGAGATGGCTGCCATTGCTTTAATGACATGCCTGTGATAGCCTTCTAGACTCTCACTGAAAAGGCAGATTCTTAAAAAGCAGGGATGAGCTTTTGGTCTCTGCGCTTTTGCTGAAGGCCAGCAGGTGAAGAGATTTCTCAGGCTTCTCTGGAAAAGGACACCGTTTTTTTCCTGTCTCTTGTGCTCCAGGTCATTTGGAGGTGGACAATGTCCAGCGGAACAGCTTGTGGTATGTTCATAAAGCTGTTGAACGACGATGGCAAGAGCATTCCCTTGTAATTATGTACTTGTCTGTAGTGCTAGGTATGGCAAAGGCTCGTGGCTCCTATGCTCTTGCAGACGGCCTGAGTTCAGTTCCCAGTCTCCTATTACTCCAGTTACAGGAGGACCTGATGCCCTCTCCTGGCCACTTTAGGCACTGCACATGCAAGGTGCACATACAGAGAAACACACACATACACACAGAAACACACACATACACACACATACAGATAAAGATAAAATATAAAAAATAAGAATACAATCATTATTATAGACCTAAGTTATTAAATAAATATGCAGAGAGCTAAGTCCAGTCAAACTTGATTTTGTTAAAGCAATTAAAATATAATTGCCAGAAAAAAAATGCAGTCAAATATGAAATTTAGAAAAAAGACAAATAGTTTGCTAGGTTAAAAACACCCTGAATAATGCAGAGAACTTAAACTAAAAACTATCCATTATCCTCTGAGATGCACAATTGAAGCGTTTCCTGTATTTTCTAAGTGATGTAACTTAAGCATGGCCGGGGGAGAAGGGTTGGATCTGACGGAGCGCATGCAGCACGGAAACATCACAGTGACCCCCCTGTTATTTTGCACAATTAATGCGTGTTCATTGAAAACGTCTCATGGACAGCCCCGGTGAGACTGGACTGGCCACAGTCATTGACTTCTGAGTGTTTACTGGGGAGAAGAGGGCACATTCACAGTGGACTTACACACAAATGTTCACAGAGGGCTGAGGAGAGACTGGGGGAAGCATTTTCCTCGCAAGCACAAGGACTTTGAAGTTCAATCTCATGGGAAAATGCCAGGCTTGCTGGAACCTCAGTGTGGGGAGGCAGTGACAGGAGGATCCCGAGGTTCTCTGGGATCTCTGGCCTAAATGTTGAGCTTCAGGCCAATGAGAGACTTTGTGTTGCCAAAGTTCCTTCCCCTGGTGAACAATACATACCCAACCTCCACGGTTCCAACAACACAGCTCACGGGGAGAGGGGAACCAAACAGTTTATTAGGCTTACTTACAGGGCAATGGGTGAGGGGTTTCCAGGCAGGAGGATGGGTGACTTTGGCCACCTTAGAAGGTCTGCAGCCAGCAGAGATGGTGGCTTCCTCACGGCTGCACGGACGGGAGCCCTTCTACATCTCTATCATCTGTCCCCTCCCAGAGGCCCTGAGGCTACCTGCAATTATGGAAGACTTGCATCCAACACGTTGGATGGAGTGGTTAGCTACTCTGGGTCCCATGATCTCCCCACCAGGACGAAAGGTCAAAGGTCAGCAAGCCCAGCTGAGGTGATGTTGGTGAGCAGGCTCAGCTGGACTTCCGAAGATGGCTGCAGTTGGCCTCGGGGGACAGTTCTGTACAACACCTTGTCTCAAAGGTTTACTGAGGTCACCACTTCAGACTTCGGTCTCCACCTACACACCCAAGCACATATGTGCACCTGCACATACATGAACATGCACTCTCCGTCCCACACAAAAGTAGGAAGAATGTGTCAGCAAATGAATAAATAAAACTGTGCTCTCCAAACAAAGGGACACTACTCGGCAGTAAAAATGCAGACCACTAAGCTTGGAATAGCGAGTATGAATCTCGCGTACTACTCTGAGGGAAAGAAGTAGGCAGGAAAAGAGGATGTCTCGACAAGCTGCAGATCTATAGGAAGGCAGGCCAGTTCTGTCATGGGACTGCTGGCAAAAGGGCGGGAGAGCCTTCTGAGGTGCATTGTGCTCTCGTGTGCCGTGTCCACACAGGTCTATGCAGGTGTCAGAAGCACAGAGCCCACTGGACTGTGCTCTCTCGTGTGCCGTGTTCACACAGGTCTATCCAGGTGTCAGAAGCACAGAGCCCACTGGACTGTGCATTTCACTGCACGTGGATTCAATATTGCAACAACAGCAACACAAAAGAGAAGCCACGCCGTGCCCCAGCTGCAGTGACTTCTCAGCATGTGTTTGGAGGTACAGCAGAATGTTCTTGGTTTGGCAATGAAGCTGACAATCACCAGACCAGGGCTGTGTATTTCTGTTCTCTTACGGTGAACATTTGGGTTATTTCTTTGAATAAAGATGTTTCTTTCCCTGCCTTTTAGATGCAGTCATATTCCCTAAGAAGAATGAGGGAAGGCCACTTTCGGTGGGAACTCTCCTTTCAACCAACAAATTACTAATTGTCCTCTCTGGGCCAGGCTTTATGCCAGGTTGCGGTCAGATGTAATGGGAATGCCTGGGAGGCTGACCACTGGGAGCTGAGGGGAGGAGATAGGTCAGACATTATATAAATGCTCAAACATATGAATATCATGAGTGTAAAAGGCACACATGTGTAGGGAAACTTGAACTGCCTCTCTTGCTCCCCCATTCCCCAAAGGATGCTCTGTGGTAACTTAACGCTGGCCTCTGGACCAGGTTGAGTTCTGAAGCAACTCCTAGCCACAGCCACAGGCAAATCCTGGGCCGAGCACCATCTTAGCAAAGGTTTCAGTGGCATTTTCCAAAGTCACATCCTGCAAAGCTTCAAGAAAACTGGTCCCCAGCTCCAGCACTGAGATCCATGTCTACATGGGGGGCAGCCAGAGGGGGTGATAGTAAGGACAAAAGGGGAGAGAAACCGGTTGGGGCACTGGAGGGGCTGGGGAGGACACAGGAGCTACTGTAAAGAGGGGGTTTAGCTCTCACTTTGTCAGTCTGTGAGAGTGGGTGAGCGACCACACCGACATCCACACCCATGTCTGCATCTGTTTATTAGAAAATGCTGAAACCCGGGGCTGGGGAGATGGCTTAGAGGCCGGCAGCACCGTTTCCCATCGCAGAGGATGGGTTCCCAGCACTCACACGGTGGCTCACAAGCATCCACAGCTCTGGCACCAAGGGATCTGATGCCCTCTTCTGACTTCTGAGGCCATGAGGCATGCACAAGTGCACATCCATGCATGCAGAAAGAACACTCAAACACATAAGATAAAAAATAAAAAGCCTAAACTTGGAAACAATTCATTGTCTATCTAAAAATGAGTAGCTAAACAAAATTGTAGTCAATCCATAAAATGTGACTGCCAATGTAAAAAAATAGCAAGTTCTGAGAGAGGAACACAGGTGACCTTCGAAACAGCTACTCCAGGGGCTGGAGCTATGGCTCAGCAATTAAGAGCACTGACTGCTCTTCCTGGGGACGCATGTCCAATCCCCAACAGTCTATCGCAGCTTATAACCATCTGCAATCCAGTCCCAGTGGATCCGATGCCTTCTGGTCTCCTAGGGCACTGCATACACACAGTGCATAGCCTTACATGCAAAACACCCATACATACAAAATAATAAAAAAAATTAACAAATGGAACTTGAGTGAGGGGTCAGCAGTCAGAACACTTGTTCTTACAGAGGGCCCAGGACCGATTCCCAGTACTCACATGGTGGCTCACAGCCACCTCTAGCTCCAGTTGCTGGGACGGGGGGCGTGTGACGCCCTCTTCTGACTTCCATGGGCACCAAGCACACATTACACATGCATATATGGTGAAAAATACATATGGATGTATATATCAGTACACATAAATATAGGCAGGTAAAACATAAAAAGTAAATTTAATAAAAAATATCAGCGAAACAGAGACTCCATGAGAAAGTGTGACAACCACGGCTGCTGTTTTCTTATACTGGGGTGCTGGGAAAAGCAGCCTCGTGGCTGGTGTCAGACTAGTCAGCAGCCACCCAGGCTGCAGGGCTCCGGGGGACACACTGGGGATAGAGATATGCTGGCTCTGGTGGGGGTTTCACGCGTGACAAGTGTGAGCCTTGACAGAAGCAGAACAAGGGTACGCTCTGGACCACGAGGCTTGCACTGGTCTCTTCCTGGAAGGAGATCCTGCAGCCTGAGTGGACATTTTTGGGAGGCTTGGGAAGAGGGACTGCCGCTGACAGGTGTTAGCATGGGTGAGGACCAGCCTGGAGATGGCGGGGCTGGGCAAGCACTGCGACTGGAGCAGGAGGTGGCAAGACCATGGGTGGGAACTGTGTTGAGGCAGGCAAGGCTTGGAGAAGCAGTCAGTTTCAGAGGTGAGAAAGGGCAGGGACTGATGGCTGGGGTCTCTACCCAGACAAAGAAATACCTGAGGCTAGGCGGCAGAATCATCCCGGCAGTCTTTCTCCCCTCCTGAGTTTTCCTCCCTGTGGCAGTTTATTTCCGTCTCAGCTTTGGCTAGTTAGAAGCTCTGTGGCCACTTAGAAAGCTGGAGTTCTAGAGCCAAGGCCGACAGTCTTCCCTATCACCCAGCGGCATAAGGTGGTGCTTCTCCCTGTAAAGTTTCCCTTCCCTGGCCTGTCTTGTGAAATTCATCTCTGGGTTGGTGCTGGGCTTGTAGGTTCAGTAGCATCAAACACCATAAAACTGGCTCGGAGAGCAGAGGCGACTCAGGGCGTTGGCAGTGCTGTCTGGCAGGGTTCCTCTCTAGTTCTGAGGCGCCAGAGCAGCACCCATGCAGTGCTGGCTGCCTTGTGACTGCTTCACAGCTTCCAGTTTTCAGGCCATCCTGGTGGGGAGGGAGTGGCAGGGCAGCTCACACCTTTGACAGCTGGGAGGGAGGCTGAAAGGGAAGGGAGAGAAGGTGGGCAGAGGGAGACAGAGACATAGAACAAAAGCACTCTTTCCACCTTTCCCCTCACACCCTGAACCCCCACTTTAGTTAATTCTCTCTTGAAAACGCCCTTCAGCACACCCAGAAGGACACTTTATTAATTTAGGTGTCTTTCTCTTTGTTTCTTTTCTTTTTTTTCTCTTTTGGAGACAGGGTTTCTCTAACTCTCCTGGAACTCACTCTGTAGACCAGGCTGGCCTCAAACTCACAGAGATCTGGCTGCCTCTGCCTCCCGCAAGCTGGGATTAAAGGCATGTGCCACCACTGCCAGGCTTCTAGAAGTCTTTCAGTAACATTAACCATCACACTGGTTCTGGGGGCTCCTTGAGTCTTAAAAGAAACATGGCGGCAGGTATGTGGCACACTCTTTAAATCCAGTACTCTTGGGAGGCAGAGGCAAACACAACTGTGAGTTTGAGGCCAGCCTCTACATAGTTGAGTTCCAGGGCAGCCAAAAGCTACACAGTGACATTTTGTGTCAAAAACAAATAATTAACGAAAAATAAACATGGCGGATCATAACCTATACTTAAGAAGAAACATGGTGAATCATGCCCCAGACTAGCTGCTTCCACCATAGCTGACTGAATACGAGAGAAACAACTTAAGGGGGCTGTTTTGGCTCCTGGTTTCAGCTCCTGGCAGGAAGGGCCCAGAACAGCCATTCACAGGGTGGCAGTCAACAAGCACAGGCCCGCCCCCACTGACTGCTTCCTCCAGGTAGACCCTACTGACTCAAGTTCCCACAACCTCCCACAACAGCACCACCAGCTGGAACTAGACTTCCCAGACAGGAGCCTGGAGGGCACATTTATGCAGAACCCGTGACAACCCTCTGCCTGAATATATTAGCTACAGCAAAGCCATTGATCCTGCTCTTCTCTAGTGAAGATAGCTTGATTTCTTGATTTTCAAGACCTGTATCGTGAGGAAGCAGGGGTGCTCACGACTTCCTACTCAGCACTTTCAGTTATGCTTGCAATGGGGTAAAGACCTATGTCCTAGAATCTGCCTCGCGAGTATTGTCAACCTATAACTGGGGATACAGTTGCATCAGTTAGCAATGGGCAACAGCCATATAAATCTGTATGTTACTAATGTAGAAAGTTTGAGTTGTTTTATAAATAATAATATACGAAATAGTATGATACCATTGCTCATTATTATAGGTAATAGGCTATATATAAAGAAGTAGCATTGGAGTGATGGGTATATGGTGGTTTGAAGAATGCCCCCTCACAGGCTCAGAATGTTTGAATGCGTGGTCCCCAGTCCGTGGAACTGTTTGTGGATTAGAAAGATTATGAGGTGTGGCCTTGCTGGAGGAAGTATGTCACTGTAGGTGAACTTTGAGGTTTCAAAAGCCCAGGCCATGCTCAGTGTCTCTCTCTCTCTCTCTGCCTATGGGTCAAGATGTATGTAGCCCTCAGCTACTTCTCTAGCAACAACCCTGCCTGTCGCCAGATTCCCTGCCATGCTCATAACGCACCAATCCTCTGACACTGTAAGCCACGCCCAGTTAAGTGCTTTTTTATTGAGTTGCCCTGGTCATGGTGTCTCTTCACAGCAACAGAACCGTAACTAAGAGAGTGTTATCAGACTGACTGTGTTGGCTGGGTATTGTAGCAATGCTTGAGCCTCAACACTTGGGAGGTAGAGATGTGAGGATTGCAGGTTCAAAGGTCAGCATGAGACACAGAGATTCTACCTCAAAACAAAATGAAACACTGAAGACAATGTCAGCCAGGAGGGTAGGCCACTTCCCTGTGAGTTCCTGCCTGTCAGTTTCTCTGTAAGGACCCAGTGTTATTTTCCTCAATAATGGAATTTGGAGCATAATTTTTTTTGTCAGTATAAAAAGTTCCTTTATTTATATACATCTAAGTTTTTAACTGCAAATTTATCTTGCTCATCTTCCCATGTAAGGTCCATTAAGTGACGGAGCATAAATTTTTATGCTGGACCCCTTGTATTGTTTCAAATTTAACTTTCCGATGAATCACGGATATGGATGCTGTTGACTCTGGATAAGATGTAGAAATGAGGTCCTGCCCAGATCACCAAAGAAGCAGGATGTGACCTGCCCCGCTGATAAAGGTACTGAGCCATGTGGTTAACATAGATAAAAATGGGTTAATATAAGCTACAAGAGCTAATACGAAGCCTGAGCCAATAGGCCAATCAGTTTATAATCTTATGGAGACCTCTGTGTGATTTTCTTTGGGACTTGCCGGCTGTTGGGTACCAGGAAGGACAGAAACCCCAACAAGCAGGCCCCTCATGTTACAGAATGGCACCCAACATGGATAACTGCATCCACAGAAAGCCTGAGAAAGCTTGGGAAGGAATAGAGTAAAGCATGTTTCCTTGGTAGCAGCAATTTCTCGGGTCTGCTCTGCTTGTTAGAGGCAAGCAAGCGCTCTCATCTAAGAGAGGCTTCCTGATTCAGCTTTAGCTGTAAAACTTTGCAGCTCTTTAAAGAGGTCCTGCTATGAACACTTAAACAGTATTAATGAAAAGCTGACTGCATGCTTTTCAGTTTTCTGCCATAGCAGGAAAAAAGCTGTGCTGTTTTTAAAATGTCAGCTTTCTGGGCTGTACGGCCAGGAAAAACTCTGACTCTTTCAGGCAGGCAGTCTGATTATGGAGCACTTGAGTGTGGTTTGTGAGCACACTGTTGCAGCTTGCTTGCTGGCAAGGACCTTGAAATACCCTGGAGTTGTGACAATAAACATTGCTCTGACTGGTATCTCCGCCATGAGGCTGGAATAGCAGAAAGCTAAGGAATGGGCTGGATCCAGCCGTCAAAGCCATGGCTTTAATCCTACCCATATTGCTTGGTAAATTAAAGACTCATGTGGTCAGAAAAAGAGAGATTATACAGTTAAGAGAGATTCAAAGATGAAGAAAACCTCTAAATGATTTATAGTGTGTTAAAAATATATGCAGGCTTGAAAAAAAAAAGGTTAAAGGGGGGCTGGAGAGATGGCTCAGCGGTTAAGAGCATTGCCTGCTCTTCCAAAGGTTCTGAGTTCAATTCCCAGCAACCACATGGTGGCTCACAACCATCTGTAATGAGGCCTGCAGGAAGAATACTGTACACATAATAAACAAATAAATAAATATTTTAAAAAAAGGTTAAAGTCCTTAAAATAAAAAGGAGAGTAGTTGGGTGTGGTGCTACATACCTTTAATCCCAATGCCTGGGAGGCAGAGGTAGACTGATCTCTGTGAGTTCAAGGTGTGATAGCACTCACCTTTAATCCCAATGCCTGGGAGACAGAGGCAGACAGATCTCTGTGAGTTCAAGGTGTGGTAGCACACACCTTTAATCCCAGCACTGGGGAGGCAGAGGCAGGTGGATCTCTGTGAGTTCAAAGACAGCCTAGTCTACAGAGGGAGTTCCAGGACAGCCAAACATATACAGAGAACCTATCTCAAAAAGTAAAAGTAAAAATAAAAGAAATAGAGGTTAAAGTAAAGCCACATAAAGATGGAAAATACACAGAAAATCTGGATACTGTATATAATTATGCTCTCTTTGAACAAGGAAGGAACAGCTGCCAAAAGATATTTGCTTATAAATACTGCTGAATTAATCCCAGATAGGTATTTTGAAAATACCTGACTTCAGAACTGAAGTCAAAAGGTATGTTACTTTGGAGAAGAGATTTTGCTTTTGTTTCCACAGGAAATGAGAGACTGTGGATTTATTCTGAATGAAGAAAAATTAAGTTCGATCAAGGAAGACCACTGAAAAATCTCCAGTAGAAACAGATGGGACAGATGTCAGAGTTCTACACCCAGAACAGGTTCAAGACTGCCTGAGATGATCAAGCCTCACAGGATACTCCAGTCAGGACTTGATCATAATTCTAAATTTTCTTTAGGTCCCTGTAAGATTATCAGCACCCCCAACCAGCAGGAAGTAGCCTGGAATACTATGCCCACATTTCCCAAAAATGGACTATGGATATTTTCTTTTGTTAAAAAATAAAAGAAGGGAAAGTGGTGTGGGAGAATTAGAATTGTCTATATTCTGTCAATCATGTTTTAAATAAATGCTGATTGGCCAGGCAGGAAGTATAGGTGGGTCAGCCAGACAGGAAGTAGAGGCAGGGCAATGAGAACAGGGAAATTCTGGGAAGGAGGAAGCTCATTGCTCCCAGTCCTGCCCAGACCACTGAAGAAGCAGGATGTGACCTGCCCCGCTGAAAAAGGTACTGAGCCATGTGGCTAACATAGATAAGAATAATGGGTTAGTATAAGCTACAAGAACTAATACAAAGACTGAGCTAATGGGCCAATCAGTTTATAATCTTAAGAAAAAAAAAGATGTAGAAATGAGCTTGCACCATGTCACCCAGCTGGTCTAAAGACAAAATAAAGATGACTCACCTCAAACCCAGTCTTCACAGGTACAAGTGTCCCTTTGTTTAGAAGCTGGCTCTGAGACGTAGTTACATGGCCCAGCGCTGGCCTCCAGCCAGCATCACACCAAAGACACACTCACCCTGCTGTGTGAGCTCCCTGCGCCCATGACTCCACTCAATCTTTGGCATTCTCATGTTCTCTTTCCTCTGCATGGACGGGCAGGAGGACTTGGTCCTCATCTGAGAGCAAGTGAAAAGGATGGAGCTTTGGGAGCAGACTGAAGAGTTCTGTATCTCCTGGGAGCACTTCCTTCACCTTGTATCTCAGGACACTGAGCTTCACTAATTATACAGTTCTACTGAAGTGAATGCTCATAAGAGGAAACCCGTAAAACACATCCCTAAGGCAAGGCGTGCAGAAAATACTGACAAAAAAGAGGAAGTCCTCATGACCCAGAAGCAACCACCATGGTGGTGACAAGGCAAGGCTTCTAGGCCAGGTGTCAGAATCCAATTCAGCCTCTTATTAGTTGATTGGTCTCAGATGGGCTTTTAACATCTCCAGATCTTGGTATTTTCTTTTTTTTTTTTAAAGATTTATTTATTTATTATGTATACAGTATTCTCAGTACTCTGCCTGCAGGCCAGAAGAGGGCACCAGATCTCATTCCAGATGGTTGTGAGCCACCATGTGGTTGCTGGGAATTGAACTCAGGACCTTTGGAAGAGCAGGTGGTGCTCTTAACCACTGAGCCATCTCTCCAGCCCCCAGATCTTGGTATTTTCATTTAGAAAATGAAGATCATGGTTCCAGCACCTAGATCATAGGCAAGATGAAATTAGCCCATATATGTAACAGGACACTGCCCACCACATAGCTAGAAGCACGCTAAAACTTGAGTCAGCACTGACTTTTAGCCCCTCCCTCAGATATACATAGGATCTCCTCTAAATTGGATCACACTATACATGTTAGTTAGTAGAAAACCTTTTTAGGCTGATTAGAATCTTTCCCAATTATTTTATTCTACAGGTCACTTGAAAAGGCTATATTCCAATGTTTTAAACAGAACCATCACTCTTGTGTGTAGCTAGTCATGTGTCTTTTAAAGCCAAGAGTTTATTCTGAGGCCATGCTGTCCTGGAACTACGACCGCAAACTCAAGACAACCCTTTGCCTCCTGAGCGCTGGGATTGTGGATCACATCTGGTTTATATGCCTTTTAAATCTGTGCTTTTTTGGTGGCCAGATGTCTTGTGTGCTAAGAACTACTGAGGTACAGCAGCCCTTACACAGCTCACTGGAGGCCCAGCTCACGCTCTCCTAGCAAGTTCTCAGGGCACACTTCACCTGCAATTCTACACTTGCTCTGGCCTGGCTGAGTAAGTTTGAAGAAGCTGTGAAGAGAGCAGGTTGTTAGGAGGACTTTCCAGTTGCTCAGCTCCCCTAGAATTAATTGCTTCTTGCTGGCAGATAACCACAGAGTGACACAAGCCCTTGCTGCATCTCTTTAGGGGTCATCAGGTCAGCTGCCTCTAGCCCGTCTGTTACTCGAGTCTGAAGTCTTCTCATTCCTCACCAATGCCAGCGCACACGTATACAATTTGGTTCTACACTGTGGGCTTTGCTGCTTTTAATTTTAGTTTTTTTAAAACAACTCATAGCATTTTTTGACAACTCTGTACTATTTCATTATTTGGAGTCCCATTAAATGTACTTTTTTTTGGGGGGGGGGTATGTGCAGGAGTACAGAAATAGACCAGCAATTAAAACAAACTCACAAGTCAAACAAGCCAAAATGCAGTTGGAGAGGTTTGTTTCCCAAACTCGCCTAGGGGATCACTTGGAGTACTCTATATTCCCAAGCCTAGGCCAATGGAAAGGCCCCATAGTCTGGATATCTTATCTTGGTATAACAGATCTAAAGAAACTCAATGTTTTGCATGTTTATGTACATACATGTTGTTTTCATGTGTAGGTGTGTATGCAAGGGTATACACATGCGGGTGGAGGCTAGAGGACCATCTCTGGCTTTGGTCCTCAGGTGTCATTTACCTTGTTTCCTAAATGGGTAGTTTATTGGCCTGGAGCTCACTAAGTAGGTGAGTGCCTCCCTAGCCCCAGGATTACAAGTGAGTACTACTATGCCCAGCAGGTATATGGTTATCATGATCTGACGTACTTGAGACTAATGGGTCCTCCGTGTGTATCCTTAGAGTGTTAAAGAATACTGAGTTAACTGGAATCTAAGGGAGTCATTAACCAACTGTTAGGCTTAGAATGCACCCTCCCATCCCTATGCTGAAACTTACATCACGGATATGACTGTAATAAGGTGGGCCCTTAAGTGACTAAGTCATTATGGCAGACCATTATGGATGGGTAGGGAACTCTTACAGAAGGCCTTAAGAGAACAGGCTCGCTCTTGTGTAAGGACACAGTCTCCCTCTGCCACACTGAGGATGCAGCAAGCCACCTCTATAAGACACTGAAATTATACTTTGGATTTCCAGTACACAGAACTTGTGAGAAATAAATTTGTATTTGTAAATATCCCAAGAAACAGGAATGACTAAGCATTCATCTACAGGTGGTCTCATGACTCGAAGGTTCATGGGGCAGAATTCTTAGTCTATTTTCTAGGAACACACAGACCAAAGGAGAAACAACTTATATTCTACTTACCAATTACCAAGGATAGTTCTAAACATCAAACATAAAAACAAATCCTGAGTATGGATTTGGTTTCACATGCTGAGGCCCTGAATGGATTAGATGGGGGTCACACTGTTTAAAAGTGGATCAGAATTTGGATCCTCTGGGAACTGAATTCTTTGAAAGCATGAATGAATACCTGGAGCGCTCATCTTTCACTAGGTAAGGCGTTCACTTTCTTTGGTCTGATATATGTGTGTAAACGTGTGTGCACAGGTGTGTGTGGTGGCCAAAGGTTGGGGTTGGGTGTCTTCCTGTCATTCTCCACCCTTAGTTTCTTACAGAGTTTCTAGAAATCATTGATCCAGCTAGAATGGTTGGTCACCAAGTTCTGGGCATCCACCTGTCTCTGCTCTTCCAGTGTTGGGGTGACAGATTTATGCACTGCTATACCTAACTGCTGGGTATCCAAACTCAGATTCTCACACGCATGCAGCAATTCCTTTACTCACTCAGCAATCTCGTCAGTACCTTCCATATATCCCCCCTCCCATGTTAAAAAATCAGGAGTTGAGACCAGAGATGGCTCAGAGGTTAGGAGCACTGAGTGCTATTCCAGAGGACCGGGGTCCTAGAACCTACATAGTGGCTCACAATCTGTAACTCCAGTTCCAGAAAATCTGACACCCTGTTCTGACCTCCATGGGCATCAGGCATGAAAGTAGTGCACAGACACACATGCAGGCCAAAGACCCATACCATACATGCCATTAAAAAGCAAGTTAGGCCTGGGGATAGCTCAGCGACATGCACAAGACACTGCACTGGGCCTGAGCTCCACTCTCCACATCCCTGCTAAAGGGATGGATCATAAATTGGAATAGAATGAGAAAATTACTTTATTTAGTACACTGTATTTTTTAGTTCCACTCATAATTACAGTACAAAAGATTTCCCTTGCTTATTGAGTTTTGGGCTGTGCTTTATTTAGCTAGGTTTATAAAAAATGTTAAACTTTAAAGTCCCTCAAATTACTAAAAGCTTACATTCTTCATAATTTAAGACAATCTTAAAAAACATATTTAGGGATGGAGTGTGGCTCAGGTAGAACTTGCCTTGCATGTGTGAGGGCCCAGTAATCCCAAGCACTAAAAAAAACCCCATTTCCTTAAACACCATTCAGATCTTTTTCTTGGAGGGTTTCACACAGACATGGCTGGTCACTTACTCTGTGCAGTTCAGGCTGGCCCTGAGTTTGTAGCATCCCTTCTCTCAGTCTCCCAGACTATAGGCAAGCACCATATGCCTGGCTAAAGCCGTTCTGTAGCTGAAACTGCCTTTTATACAGTCAGAAGTTCCACAGGTGGTGGCTTCAGTGGGATTTTCCCCAGAGTAAATTTCTGGGACTGGAACTGACCCAGCTCCTCTTTAGTCAGCTGATCCCTAGGTGTGAACAGTGCATTATCTGTGGCCGAGACAGGGAAGGAGGCTGATATGCTGCTACCTCCAAACAAGTCATTAGAAGGCTTGGCAAATACAGATTGAGACTGTGGGCCAGGACTACCAAAACCAGCCACAGAACTGCCACTTCCGAAGGCAGGGGTCACTGCAGGGCCGAAAGGACTCCCTGCCAAGGAAGCTGGAAACCCTGAAAATCCAGGTGATCCAAAACCGGAAGCATCAGGGCTCTTGAAGGAAAATGGAACAGCAGATGTGGCTTCAGGCTTCCCAAACCCAAAGGCTGGAGCGGAGGAAGCGATGGTAGAACCAGCAGAGGGTCCGGCCCCAAAGGCCGAGGGACTCCCAAATACAGGCGTGCTTCCAGAAGGGGCAGTGGCAAATCCAGAGTTCGTTTTAAAACTAAAGTTCTGAACATTACTGCTGCTGCTATTCACTGGAAAACCTACAAAAACAGATTACAGTCAGAAAATGTAGCATGTCACTCCTTTCTCTTATTCCAGGCACGTTTAACTACTGAAGAGTTTAAGGGACACGTAAAAACAAGGTTAGAGCAAATCGTCTGAACCCCACTGCCCCGGCATCCAGCATCCATGAGCAGTGTGAGAGCAGGGTGGGAGCTTTTGGCTTTATATACTTCCCACCAGGGTTGCGACTCACAGCCCTGCAATGACAAGGTTCTCAACGGCATGGCTGCCACAGCGGTATAGTCTTGTCAGATCCCTGAGGCAGACTGGTCTTGTAATGAAGATCAGACTGGCCCTGAACTTTGGGGGTTTTGTTCTTCTTTGTTGTTATTATTGCTGTTTTTTGATTTTTCAAGACAGGATTTCTCCACGTAACCCTAATTGTCCTGGAGTTAGCTCTGTAGACCAGGCTGTCCTCAAACTCAGACATCCGTCTGCCTCTGCCTCCTGAGTGCTGGGATAAAAGGTGTTGCCCCCACCACCAGCAACCACAGCCTTGAACTTTTGATTCCTCACTTCAGCCTCTGAATGCCAGAATTACATGTATATCATCAAGTTCAGTTTCCTATGAAGCTGAAAAAATATTCCTAAAAAGGTTCTTCTAGAGCTGGGCATGGTGGCTTACGTCGGTAATTCCAGTTCTCAGGGGGCAGAGGCAGGAGGATCACAAAGCCAATCTGGTTTACATAGTGAGTTCCAGGCCAGGGTGACACGGTGAGACCTTGTTTCAAAAACAGAAGCACTTCTTCTACATGCTGAGCCACAGCGTCTTTCACAGTACACCTCCCTCCGACCGGCCTTTCCCAAGCATTTGTAAGTTCTTCAAGGCTCCATAATGGAGAAATGTGTGAGAATTATTTAAATTGGTGACTCAGGTTTTGTAAAGGTGAAATCTATTACCTGAGTGTTGGTGGCGCACGCCTTTAATTCCAGCACTTGGGAGGCAAAGGCAGGCAATCTCTGTGAGTTTGAGGTCAGCCTGGTCCACACAACGAATTCCAGGTCAGGCTCCAAAGCTACAGAGAAACTCTGTCTCGAAAAGCAAAAACAAACAAAAAAAGTTGAGGCCTATAGCATCCCACTTTTCTGAGTCAGCAAAACATGTCTCACTCTGTCTCTTTACCTGATGACCCAAACGTCCCTGTTTGCTTACTTCCAAACCCAAATGCAGGCGCTGCTTGACTGGCTCCACCCTTTACATCAGTGAGCTTAAAAAACAAAAAACAAACGAACAATACATTACTTGATGAATAATTTCCAGGTACCATTGACATACATTACATTTAAAAATTTTTAACTTAAATATGCATCTAAATATCTAGTATACAAAATGCCCATAATGTGATCATGCAAAGGAAAGGGTGTAATACTCTATAAAATGTATAACCAACCAAAATGAATGTCTATAGAAAAACGGATAGAAGTGAAAAATGATTATCTCTGGCTGATGAATGATTTTCATTTTGTACTTGTTAAATTTCTAAAAGCAACATATATTACAATCAGAAAAGCATTTTTTAAAAAAATCAAGATACATCGTATCCATATGTAAAAATTTCAAGAATAAATAAAATTACATTTTTAAAAAAGCACACTTCCAGTGTTTATAAGGTCAAACCTGCATCTGTGAAGCACTCTAGATGCAGGTGAAAGGCTGTCAGAGCATGCCCAGTCTACTCAAACGCTTCAACTCAAATGAGGTCACATGTTATCAAAAGCTTACTACTAAACCCCAGCAGACTGTCCTACTCTGCAGACAGATGCCCTTCAAGGAACCTTTCACTGACTCCTTTCCTCCAAATTCTTTTGAGACAGGGTCTCACTGTGTAGCTGACCTGGAACTCACTGTGTAGACTAGGCCTTGAGGTCACTGATATCCACCTGCCTCTAAGTGCTAGGATGATAGCTGTGTACCACCATGCCTGGCTCCAAGACCTTCTTAAGAAGACTAAGCTGGCTGAGCTGCATTTCCTTGGAAGCAACTCAGACTCCTTTATCACATTAATCCGGAGCAGTGGCTCTCAACCTTCCTAAAGCTGCCACCCTTTAATATATACAGTTCCTCATGGTGTAGGGACCCCAATCCTACAATTATTTCCGTTGTTATTTCATAACTGTACTTTTACTACTGCTATGAATCATAATGTAAATATCTGATTTGCAGGATCTCTGATACACAGCATCTGTGAAAGGGGGTCGAGACCAACAAATTGAGAACCAATGCCAGATGCTTTGTTTTCACATATTTCAATGAATCCTGACACACTTATAATCAGCACAATCAAAATTCAGAACATTACTATGACCCTTAGGAGCTCCCTACACTCTTCCTGGGTAGATAACAACCCTTCTTGACCTCTGGCCCCACACAATTGCTCATCTGCTCACCACTACATATGCCCCTTCCATAGTTTCCTAAGATAGATTCTTACAGCTTTTTGTTGTTGTTCTTTCCTTGCTTCTCTTTCTTAGAGTAATAGTCACCAACAGGTAAATAGGTAAATGGCTAAACAAATTTGAGTATTCCATACTCACGATAAAAGATGAACAATGATGATATGTACTAAGTCAGCCCAGGATGGGTTCTCTCAGAGCAGCAGCAGAGTGACCCTTTCAATGTTAGCAAAGAGCTGGAAACATTCATGCCAGGGATTAAACAGTTCCTTACACTCAGTTAGTATTGTGCTATGAGCTCTCGTCAATGGTGATAGGGTCACGTCTCAGCTGGGGTCAGAATATGCCTAAATAACCCCACTAAGTTCAAATGGCATTATACAACTGCAAGGCAGCATAAACACATCTTTAAGTACTTGAATTTGTAATATTTCTCAGTTTTTAAAACTAGTCCTACCCCAGTTAAAAACCTTACACTAAAAATAGGTTTGTTTGTTTGTTTTTTTGAGAAAGGGTTTCTCTGTAGCTTTGGAGCCTGTCCTGGAACTAGCTCTGGTAGACCAGGTTGGCTTCAAACTCACGAAGATCCGCCTGCCTCTGCCTCCCGAGTGCTGGGATTAAAGGTGTGAGCCACCACTGCCCAGCCTAAAAAATAGTTTTTACTTTTATTTATTTCGAGACAAGGTCTCTCTAAGCAGTTCTGGCTGTCTTGGACTTCAGTATATAGATCAGGTTGTCATCAAACTCCCAGAGATCTGCCTACTTCTGTCTTTCTAGTGCTGGAATCAAAGGAGTGTGTTACCATGTCTAACTAAGAGTTGTTTTTAGAAAGCATAATTGTCCCTACTTTTCTGAGAAGGAAATACGATCTAGGGCTTTAACTCTAAATGACCATGGGCAGAGTTAATTCTCCACAGAGATTTTACCTTTCAAATTGAAGCATTCTCTGCCAAAAATCAGAGGGGACTGGAAAGATGGTTCATAGGTTAGGGGCACTGACTGTTCTTCAAGAGGACCTGGGTTTGATTCCCAGAACCCACATGACAGTTCTCAACTGTTTGTAACTCCAATTCCAGGGGATCTGACACCCTCTTCTAACCTCCACTGGACCAGGCACATATGCGGTGCACATATATGCAAGCAAAACATTCCTATACGTAAATAAAAATTAAAAAAGCAATAGAACCAGTGTACACCTTTAATCCTGGCACTCAAGGTAGGGCCGGGGATATCTATGAGTGCGAGGCTAATCTACATACTGAGATCTAGGTCAGCCAGATGAGACCCTGTCTCAAGAAAGAAACAAAAAAGCAATAAAAAGTTAGGCATAGTGGAGAATGTCTATAATCCTAGAAAAAAAAAAAAAGCAACAGCACAAAATGCAAAGATGAGTCACTTCTTTGAAGAAAATTCTTCAGTGCTTACCAGAGTTCCTTTGGTTGACATATTGAGATTTTTCAGCTCATTTATCCTATTCTTCCATTGACTTACTAGCTGTTGAACAGAATTTAGCTGAAGAGAGAAGACAAAACGTAACTCAATACTGAATGCTTAACCCTTGCTCCTGCTTGCCAGAGACACTCCAGTTCTGTCCTCTAGCTCGCTGGGTCTCATGGTGGGTCACCTGGCAGTGCAGAGACGGTGCTATCTGGACAGGAGGGGATAATGGAAACTAGCATAGTCCTGGCTGTTGACAACAGAAATTACCATTTCCTTCAGGCACCCAACTTACTCTACTGACAAACCATTCAGACTGTTTTCTTTTGAATGTCTGGTATTCAAAGGTGTTAATCTATTTAGCAGAACTGTCATTTATGTCACTTTGCTTTTTTAGTATTCATCATGGGATCTGCAGCTAACAGAAGCAACAGTATTTTTCTAAAGATAGATGGTTTGAGTTCTAGGACTGATTGGTGGGTAATTTATAATAAAATAATATCTCTAATCACTATAGTACATTATTAACAATTTAGACAACTAGACAATTTCAAAGAAAATAGTCTAGAAAATATTAAAAAAGGCAGTGGCCTATAAAGAATTAACAGTTCTCACCAAATGTGCCCAAACACAAGCAAGCCACTACAAACACAGAAAACAGTAATCGACAGCCAAGTGCTACCGAGGTAGAGAAATAGGAAATAAACTTACATAGCTCTGTAAGTTATTGCTGGTTAAGAAGTTATGGTATTCAAGCCTCAACTCTTCTGGTGAAATATCTGTGAAACCTGAAGTGAGGAATCAGGTGGGATTGAAACAGTAAGTATTGCTGATTCTGGTAGTAGGGCTGGCGTGCTAAACAAGAAAATGCTAATGCTGGTTATTATAGATCATACAGAACACTCAAAGTCTATATACTAATGCGTAAATTATTAAATTAGAATAAAATACAGCTATTTCATCTTCAAATGAAGAATTCTGTAAAGATAAAGGACAAAAGGAAAATGAAAGATCTGACTACATACACATTCAAACTCTAGTGTAAAAAATGCTGTTAAGTCTACAATAAACAGATTTAAAAGGCAAATGATAAATCAGGGAAACCATGACTGCATACAAAAGAGTTAACATCTTTTTAATTTTTTAAATTCACTTATTTATCAAGTATTCAGTGTTCTGTGTGTAAGTATCCCTGCAGGCCAGAAGAGGGCACCAGAACTGATTACAGACGGTTGTGAGCTACCGTGTGGTTGCTGGGAATTGAACTCAGGACCTCTGGAAGATTTTCCATCTTTAACACAGACATACTGTTCATAAGTCAGTACAGAATTGATGGAGGAAGGTCATTGGCTAATAAAGGAACTGCCTTGGCCCATTTTATTGGTTAGAACATAGGTAGGTGGAGTAAACAGAACAGAATGCTGGGAGGAAGAGGAAGTGAGCTCAGACTCCACAGCTCTCCTATCGGGAGCAGACGCCTCAGAGAGACGCCATGCTCCCCGCTCCAGGGAAGATGCACGCGATGAAGCTCCGACCCAGGATGGACGTAGGCTAGAATCTTCCCGGTAAGACCGGTGCTACACAGATGATAAGAAATGGGCTAGTCCAGGTGCGAGAGTTAGCCTAGAAGAGGCTAGATAGAAATGGGCCAAGCGGTGTTTAAAAGAATACAGTTTCCGTGTAATTATTTCGGGTAAAGCTAGCCGTGGGGGCGGCTGGGTGCCAGGGACGCAGCCCGCCGCCCTTATTTCAACACAGAATACAGCAAAGACAGAAAGTATAAGCAGTTCACTAGAATTTGAAAAGGCTAGTAAATTAAAGAAAATTTAAAAATGCTACTTAGTGATAAAATGCTCTCCTTACGGACTGGCAGAGAGTAGAACAGATGATGATTATTGTTACTCAGTGTGTGGTAGTGGATGCTGTTCTGAACATACTAAGAGATTTTCTGGGGCAAACTGTCCACAAGTAATATTTACAGACTCTGACCTACATTTCTAGGATTTATCCAGATACCTATAATTATGCTATATTATTTCTGTTATTTTCTTTCCTGAGTATTTTGGGCTCATGGCTCTCACCTCAAGGCCTTTGCACTAGCTATCATAATTGCTAGGAATGGTTTTCCCAAGTCTTATCTAACAGGTACCTTCTCTTCACCCAGGGCTTAGCTCTAACTGTTTTATAAGAATGCATAACTCTCCTTCAAGAACACTGTCCACCTCAATTACTCTCTATTTTTCCAAGCTGTGAGCAACCAGAGTTTATGTGAATCACAGGACACAGACAATGACGTGAATAACTATTTTCTCGGGCTTTGGAGGGTGGTATGTGATGGTGACACTCTTGTTGAGGACGGGCCTGTGAGCACGTCTGTGGGGAATTTCTTTTTTTTTTTTTGGTTTTTTGAGACAGGGTTTCTCTGTAGCTTTGGAGCCTGTCCTGGAACTCCCTTTGTAGACCAGGCTGGTCTCACAGAGATCCGCCTGTCTCTGCCTCCCGAGTGCTGGGATTAAAGGCGTGCGCCACCACCGCCCGGCTTGTGGGGAATTTCTTAATTACTAATGGATGCACGAAGGCTGAGGGCCCAGCTCACTGTGGGTAATGGCATCCCTAGGCAGCTGGATTTGGGCTGTGTGAGAAAGTTAGCTGAGCAGGCCTGGGGAAGCAAGCCAGTGTCCAGTGTTTTCCTGTGGTTTCTGCTTCAGGCTTCAGGTTCTTCTTGCCTTTAGTTCCTGCCCTGGCTTCCCTCAATGATGGACTATTAACCTCTAAGTCAAACAAACCCTTTCTTCTCCAAGTTGCTTTTGGGTCATGGTGTTTATCACAGCAACAAAAGAACAAACAAGGACATGATACAAGAGCAATCTTCTAGCTACAGAGGAAAAGTTAGTTCTTTATGATAAACCATGCATGCATCCACAGATATTTATTTTCTAAAACAAAAAAAAAACATTAGTGAAATGAACAGCAAATCTGTCTATAACTCTTACTAATATTTGGCTTGACAGCTAAATTTTTTAAAAAATTATTATTAATTTGGTTTTTTGAGACAGGGTTTCTCTGTAGTTTTGGTGCCTGTCCTGGAACTAGCTCTTGTAGATCAGGCTGGCCTCAAACTCACAGAGATCCGCCTGCCTCAGCCTCCCAAGTGGTGGGTTTAAAGATGTCTGCCACTTCCCCTCCCTGGTTTAAAAAAATATTTTTAATTATGGGTATGGCTATGCACCTGTTCTGTAGTAGTGACATGTAAGTGCAGATGTCTGTAGAAGTCAGAATGCAGTACTGGATGCGCTGGAGCTAGTCACAGGAAGGAACTGAACTACAGACTCTGCAAGAACAGTGCATACTCTTAGTGCTGATGGGCATCTCCCCAGCTCTGACTATTGGATTCCTATATGTGCTTCTGTAGGTGTTTTTGCATTCATTCCGCTGCAGTGTGGTTGCTGTGTAAGAACTACATTCTACAGACATGTCACTGGAAAAAGAAGTCATTGGCCTTCTCAGTTAAATGTGGATATTCTTCTTTGACAATGTACCAGTACTGGAAAAGTGGACTGGAATGGTTTTGTTTTTTTGCTTTTCAAGATAAAGTCTCACTATGTAGCTCGGTTGGCTTAGAACTCACTCTCTAGACCAGGCTGGTCTCAAACTCACAGAGACCTGCTTGTCTCTGTCTCTCAAGTGTTGGGGTTAAAGGTGTGCCACTATGCCCAGACAAGAAGGACGGTTTTAAAGGTCAGTTATAATGTAGATGCAAAAACCAATGAACTTTTGTGTTTTGTTATAATTCATTAGTTTATCTTGGACTTAGAATAGATTTCAGCCAGCACAATTCTGTAACACAATGCTCCAGTCTTGAAGATTATTAGTTAATATGTCCTACAGAATTTCTTTCTTTTTTTTTTTTAAAGATTTATTTATTTATTTTTATTATGTATACAACCTTCTGCCTCCATATATGCCTGTGTTCCAGAAGAGGGCGCCAGATCTCGTTACAGATGGTTGTGAGCCACCATGTGGTTGCTGGGAATTGAACTCAGGACCTCTGGAAGAGCAGCCTGTGCTCTTAACCACTGAGCCATCTCTCCAGCCCCAGAATTTCTTTTTTTTTTTTTTTTTTTGGTTTTTCGAGACAGGGTTTCTCTGTGGTTTTGGAGCCTGTCCTGGAACTAGCTCTGTGGACCAGGCTGGTCTCGAACTCACAGAGATCCGCCTTCCTCTGCCTCCCGAGTGCTGGGATTAAAGGCGTGCGCCACCATCGCCCGGCAGCCCCAGAATTTCTATATGTTGACACAGAGCATTCTAGAACACTAAAAGAAAAACAAACCAACCTTGAAATCCTCACATATTAATGCTGTCACTAGTCTTTCTTGAAGAGATTTTGAGTATTGAGAAGCTATCGTGTTTCTGTGACAGAAAGGTTTCTCATGATCCTAACTTTTCCTAGGAAATTCCAGTTTTATCATGAGCGGTAACCCTGTCATCCTCCCACCGCCACCCTGCCCCTTGAGGTGACACAGATTTATCTCATTCATTGTTGAGAAAATATCTGCCTAAGCAAAGTCTGAATAACCACAGCCGTTATTCTCTCCAATAAAATCTGTCTGTGACAAAGTAACATGATAACCCAGCGTTCTTCCTCACAGTGAACATCATACATGGATAAAGGGAAAAGCATGGTCTATATGTACCTTCCATTTTTAACAGTACAAATTTCAACACTGAAAGTAACCACCAGTGTCTTAGTATTATTATGAAAACTTTTATGAACATATATAGTTCCTACAGACGTGTCAGGGTTAGGTTGGCAGATTTAACTAACAGAAATCCAGGATATCTAGGTAAGTTGAAATTTCAGACATAAAACAAATATTTTATTAAGTATGTTCCAGATATTACACAGGACACACATATATTAAAAATACTCTTTACTTATCTGAAATTTAAATTTAACGGAATGTCCTATATCTTACAATGGTAACCCCACCCTGAGCTCTCTATAGTCATAGTTGCAGGACATTAGGCTTTAAGTCCACCCCTGAACTGACTGAGACTTAATACTTGGCAATACTTAAATACTAAAATTTAAGCCATCCCAGGGCTTCCCAGTTTATTCTTTTATTTACAGAAACTATTACTACATTAAGTGATTTATTTTCACTGTTTCTCATTTTCTTTCCTCCAGAACAGTAGCTTCCTGAGAGGAACCCTGCCTGCTCACCTTACGATGTGCCCCTCACACGCAGATCAGGGAACCCTGTCTGCTCGCCTTATGATGTGCCCTTGCATGCACAACAGGAAGTAGGACAAATGAAACCCAGTAAACAATGTTTAAATGAATAAGGAAGTAATTAAGGTGAGAATGGGGCGAGGTGAGGTGCAGTGGCATTCCTAGGGTTCTGGGAAACTAACTTCAGGGGTTCCTGGCTATGGCATGTCTATTGTTTCCTCAACAGGAGAAAGACCCCGGATCTCCCAGAGCAGGCTTGGAAAACCTCAGTAGCCCAAGTTTCAGAGAGGCTATAGGTATCATGGAAAAAAAGGAATATTCTAAAGAAATTCCCATGTAGCTCATCACCTTCAAACTATCCAGGAACGTTTCACAGGCTTTACGAAAAAAAAAGAATTCTTGAAGGCTGTGATGGTGGCTAGCTCCTGACACTCCTGGTTGCTGAGGGAGCTAGGAGGTTCGGAGGTTTCACAGAGGGAACCAATACAGTAGAGCTTCTTCCTCGACTGAACTGTAATTGTGGTGGATCCTGATCTTATTATTCTTTCTTGAGAATAACACAACTGAAAAGAACTACATTCTCCCTCTCAGTCTCTCTACTATGAAGCTCAGGTGGAATACTTTAAACAACGACCAAATTCTAGCTATTCCTAAGTTTGGAGTAAATTTATTTAGCACAGTCTTAGTTTTAGAAAGTAGTTACTCTGGAATCTATTTTAAAAACACATACAAGTCCTATAGCCTAATGGTAGGACTTTTGCCTAGCTTGAATGAAGGCCAGGGTTCAATTCTCAGCACTCAACAAAAAGCAACCAACCACCGACTTAATCAAGGGTTTTCCAGTTACCTGAAATGTTAGGTTTCTTTTTCACTGGTGAGAAAACAGAGAACATCCACTGCCCCGATGATTCCCAAATCTCTACATCTTTAACAATTCCTTCCCTGAAAAAAAAAAAAAATGGAAGAGTAATGGGTATTTCCAATTGCTATTATTTGTTATTTATGAAGTGGAATGACTGAAAGTTTAAATTCTAGTAAATAAATATACAAACTTACATCTTTTCTATCCCAGAAGTTCACAGAAATACAAATCACAACCTGAGTGTGGTGAGCACAGCTGTAATTCTAGCTCCTGGGAGGCTGAGGATTTTGAGGCCAGTCAGGAAAACACAGTGAACTTAAGGCTAATCTGGGCTGCACATGGAGAACTTGTTTCCCAAACAACAAACACCTTGTATTTTGTAGTTACAAATAATCTAGAATAATTAATAGTGCTGCCTTTCTAATTCACAGAAGGACTAATCAATATTTAAGAATTATGTGAAATAGAATATTTTTTAAAGAGCTAAAATACACAATATCAGAAATACAATATTTTTTAAAGAATAAACACAATAACACAATTGTTTGCTGGGAACAACAAACAGTATTACTATTAGTTATGGAGAAGCATTAAAATTTAGGAGTGGATTATAGGATTTCAGAGATAGTTTTCTTAATTTTTCTACTTTGTAATACAGGAAACAGGTCCACACACTTTAAAAATGTATTTTTAAAAAATTCGTTTATTTTTAATTTTATGTGCATTTGTGTTTTGCCTGCCATGCATGTCTGTGTAAGGGTGTCGGATACCCTGGACAGTTGTGAGCTACCACGTGGGTGCTGGGAATTGAACCCAGGTCCTCTGGAAGGAGAGCCAATAATCTCAACCTGTGAGGCGCTCACCTCTCCAGTCCCCAGGTCCATGCACTTAGCATGCACTTAATCTGAAACAAACCTGTGGATACAACTGGCTCTAAATTAAAGTTTCTTTCCATCTAGAATGTGGCCATAATAAAAAAGATAGGTATCAAAAAGAATGTTATTACACTTAGAATCACAATAAACAGAATTTTGCCTTCTTTATATATACACACACAAAACTGATGCTTGCCCAATACACCTGAAAACTCATGTTCAATTTTCAGCACTTCAAAAATAAACAGCTGGACACACACCTTTAATCCCAGCACTCTAGAGGCAGAGATCTCTGTGAGTTCCAAGCCAATCAAGGCTACACAGGTAGACCCTGTCTTAAAATCTTAAAACAAAACAGCTCCTGCTCCCCACCAAACAAACAAAACTTAAAAATCCACTGTTTATGGAACTAAACTGTTTATGGAACTAGTTATAGGATAACTAAAATAAAAGTTTTACAAAGAAAAAGTGTTATTATCAGTAATATTCAGAATCACAGTTGTTCTGAGTCACCCAGTACTCTAAAGAATGCACAGAACAATGACCTTGTAAGCAGGACTAACCTTTAAAGTGTGATCATATAGTTTTGCTTACTCTGATTTTCAAAATTACTCTTTTTCATAGAAAAGACTAAGTGCTTCTGGAAAAAACAAGCAACTGGGCAGTGATTTTCTACAAAACTTTAACTTACAGCAGTTTCTTTTCATCTTTCTGCTCTTCAGAGATAAGTGAAGCAAAAGGATTTTGAGATGATCCAAAGCCTCTGCTGGTGGAAGCCCCAGAATCAAAAGAGCCGAATAATGGTTTGTCTTGATCTCTGCTGCCACCCCATGGTGTAGACTTGGAGAAGCTGGATGGCTGGATGACACTGGAGTATCTCTGGGTGCTGGCATTCCACCCACCACGCCTGTTACTCCCTAAAATAATCAGGAAAATTAAAGAATCATAAAATTGGCAACTGTTTCAAATCTTGGAAATCCCCATTACATTTTATCTTATTATGTCTAGAAATCATGTAAAGGCTGCTACAGTGCTATTTTCTACCACTTTAAAATGTTAATCCCTTTATGATTTATAGTTTGTTATATGCTATAACTAATCACATAATGTTCTAATTGCATTTTAAAAATGAGATCAAGGTCAGGTGTGTTGTGTAAGACTTTAATCACAGCACTGTGAAGTCAGAGACAGGCAGACCTCTGTGAGTTCTAGACCAGCCAGAGCTACATAGTAAGACCCTATCTCAAATGAACAAAACAAAAACCCAAACAAACAACAAAAAATGAGACCAATGGGCCAGAGAGATGGCTCAGCAGTTAAGAGCACTGGCTGCTCTTCCAGAGGACCTGGGTTCATATCCCAGCACCCACACGGCAGCTCACAACTATAACACAAGTTCCAGGGGATCTGGCATCCACACAGATATATACATGTAGGCAAAACACCAATGCATATAAAAATTTTAAAAAAAGAGATCAAGAGGATTAGAAATAGATAGAAAAACAAAGATACACTGCTGAGTTCAGCTCTGATAAGCCTATTAAACTGCTCGGCCATTGTGGTACGAATGGAAGACACTCTAAAAGTACAGATCTTCAGTGGGCGAGCCTTTGCCTATCATGTTAAAGGCCTCTGCTTTGGCCTAGCGCTGGGTGAATGTGTATGTTTGGGAAAAGTTATGTTTCCATTAATTTGCTTCTTCGCTGGGTCATATAGAGAGAATGAATGAAAGAGGACGATGAATAAACTAGACAATAAAAAGGGCTGTCTGTGGACACAATACCTACATACCTACCTTCCATATGGAGATTACAGAGCTCACTAACGGGGGATAAAGTACAGGTAGATTTCTAAACTTCATGAATATAAAAAACAAGTCAAGGGGGCTGGAGAGATGGCTCAGAGGTTAAGAGCAATGACTCTTCTTCCAGAGGTCTTAAGTTCAATTCCCAGCAACCAGATGGTGGTTCACAACCATCTGTAATGAGATCTGATGCCCTTTTCTGACCTGCAGGCATACATACAGACAGAACACTGTATACATAATAAATAAATCGTTAAAAAAAAGTTACAAAAATGTGTCAATAGAATGTCTTTCCAGTTTTGAGATTGTTTTTATCACTCCGAGCCGGGCGGTGGTGGCGCACACCTTTAATCCCAGCACTTGGGAGGCAGAGGCAGGTGGATCTCTGTGAGTTCGAGACCAGCCTGGTCTACAAGAGCTAGTTCCAGGACAGGCTCCAAAAAAAACCACAGAGAAACCCTGTCTCGAAAAAAAAAAATTTATCACTCTGTAGTTGAGGCTAGGAAGAAGATAATTTATCTTATGACTGATTTGGAAAATATGTCGTTTAAAATATACTAAAAACGTAACGATAGGTGTAGCCATATTCTAAACTGCTCCATAAATCCAAAGAGAAATAGAAAATGGAAAAGACAGCTGAACCACATGTCTGAAGCAGGAATTAAGGGCATTTTGTTTTGAAGTTCCAAATCCTTTGTGTGTATGTGTGTGTGGGGGGGTGGTCACACCGCATAGAAATCAACTACTTTATACTGCACTGGATGGCCCTAATTTTGTTTTTTTAACTCCACAGCATTTTTCCTTCTTTTCATCCCAAAGTTTTGTTTTTTGACCCAGTTCTCTATCTACTGAACGTTTATTTTCAAATTACTACATTTAAAGTGGGTTTCCAGAGACATGACAAGCATTACTCCCAGTAGTCCCTGGGAACACAGCAATATTTTATCAGAACTCGAGGCCTAGTTGTTGGAGCGTTTCACTAGATCAATTGTAGATGAACGACACATGTTACACAAAGGACTGGATGAACCTTAAAGACGTGGAAAAAGAAGCAGCCAATAATAACGCTAAAAACTAGGTTACAAAACTAAGAAAATAAATTAATTTGACTTTTAAAACCTTGTGCTGCCCGGCTGATTTAATGCCTGGCCCCTGAATACTCTTTCCTCAAAACCTGTAAGATTCTTAGCCCAGCGTCCCGCTCTACCAACTAAAGCCCAACCTTTAAAAGCGTGCGATCAAGGATAAGGTGGGGCAAAGTAGGGCAAGAGGTCAGGATGGACCCACGCCAATTCTCCCAACCGGTGGCATTCATCAACGAAGTGGCTTTAATAAAGTATACTTCTAGTTTTAAAACGCAGAGTTTGTACCAGCACCCAGGTCAAAGCCCAGTCCTAGTCTGATCAGCCAAAACCGACAACCCTATAGGCGGGGAGCGTCACCTGAGGGCGGCGGCGGCTGCTGTGGTGGCGGCTGTCGGGCTCCGCCCGCACCCCGGGTGCCGGGATGCTCGTTCCAGCAGCGGTCTCCGAAGCGGCACCGGCCTTGGAGGAAAAACTGGCAAATGGTCATCGTAGCGCCGTCCCAACCCGTGGTCTTCAGGCCAGCAGGGAAGGCACAGTTTCCAACAACCGAAGTCCCGTCGCTAGTATGACGTCATCCCCCCGCGCCGAGAGGTTCTGCGTGCGGTCTCCAGGCGGTGAGCGACGTGGGCTTTAGCCAATGGGATTTGAGAAGAGCAGCCGGGCCCGCGCACGTGTAAAGATGTTGTCCTGAGAAAGCAGGGTGCTGGAAAGGGCCTCGAGCGTTGGACCTGGAACCCAACCCGAACCTGGAACCCTACCTAAATCTAGAGGGTACTTGTTATAGCAGACAACCACCAAGATTCTAGTAGGCTGTAGTTTTGCGAGGCTCAGTCGTTCATTACATTTATTTAGACGAAAAAAAAAAAAAAGTAAAACCGGGCTCAAAAATAAAAGGATGCAGAAAGCCAGGAACCAGGAACCAGGACGCACTGCAGGCGAAAAGTATCACAATATTTCCTTAGTTGGTACTGTCTTCCTGCACACTGAGAAATACTGTTCGTAAAATTTCACGTAAATATTGCCCTTTGAAATTTGATCAAGAATGAAATTTGTCGCCGGGCAGTGGTGGCGCACGCCTTTAATCCCACCTTTAATCCCAGCACTCGGGAGGCAGAGGCAGGCGGATCTCAGTAAATTCGAGACCAGCCTGGTCTACAAGAGCTAATTCCAGGACAGGCTCCAAAAAAAGAATTAAATTTGTCTAGAAAACTAACACACAAGCATCCCACTTTAACTGATGCAGTTTCAATAAGGGTTTTCTGAAAACACTCCATTTCTTTTCTCCCTGTGTAGCCCTGGCTGACCTTGAACCCAGAGGCCCACCTGTTTCCCAAGTGTTAAGATCACACACACACACACACACACACACACACACACACACACACACACACACACCTGGCATGTTCCATCGATCAACTTTGCAGTTCTCAAACAGGACCGTGTATCAGTATAAAGTAAGTACACAATATAAAAGCAAAATGAAGTGCTCTTGGAAGTAAAAATTGGATAGTGTGGACAAGTTGAAGACAGTTCAGGGGCTCTCAAGACTGAGTACATCTTTAGCTCACTTTACATCTTGATTAAGCGAGAGGATGAAAAGATGTCAAACAAAATTGTAGTCTGTAAGCAGAACACGTGGGATGGTCACTCTTGTCAAGGTGATTCCATTTAGAATCAACAGAGACACACATCTCTGGACTTTGAGGTGTTAGATTTTACAATTCCCATAGATACACACCGCTGGGCATGTCTGTGAGGACACTTCCAGGAAGGTTTAACTGGAGAGAAGAAACCCCAAGTTTGGACTGCACCATTCATGGAGTGGGGTCACACATCGAATATAAAGGCAAATTCAAGTTGAGCATCCATTGCTGTTTTCAGACTGCAAATGCAATGTGACCAGCTGCCTCATGTTCCCGCCAAACTCCCTTACATTGTGAGTCAGAATCAACCCCCTTCCTGATGCTGAACTCCCTCCCAGGCCCTGATGGACTGAACCCTTACACTGTGAGTCAGAATCAACCCACTTCCTGATGTTGCTTTTTACCACGTTTTGTCACGGTAATAGGAAGAGTATGAACATATTCTACACAGCTCTCCATGTAGGTGTGAACAAGGCTGGTCTCAGAAGTCAGTCATCTTCCTGCCTCAGCCTACCAAGGTGTGAACTATCACACCTGCTTCAGATTACTTTTTATCTACCCACCATGCAATACAGAAATTAGTTTAAAAAAGAAAATATAGGAAGAGGTAAACATTAAAAATCTTTGGAGGAAACTTAAGGTATTCAAAAGGATCAATCAAGTGTTAATAAAATTGCCCTTTCATATTACCAATGAACTGAGATTTAGGGGGAACTGGCTTGGTGTCCTATTGGATGGAGTAAATTGGATTTTCTTAAGTCTTTGACATAGGTTAAGATTACCAGTTTTAAAAAGTTTTTTCCCCTAAATATCTCTTTTCCTTTGGGAAACACAGTAAGCATTTTTTCCCTAATGCACACAATGCAAAAAAAGAATATAGACTTAGTTGAATATCTGTTTAAGTGGCATATATTATTTGGATATGGGTATATTAAAATAGTTAATGGCTCAAAAGTTTTCATGATATTATGTCAAGTTTTAAAAACTAGACCACAAAGCCACAATTCCTGTTTATAGTATGTAACAATTTTTGGTTACTAAAATTCATAATCAAATGTGATTTTCAAAACTTAATCATGTATTGTCAAAATAGGCCACTTCCAAGGACAGAACACCAACAAACACAGCATCTACTGAGATGAAAGTAGAGCACACTACAGGAAAGAAACTTTTTGAAAAAAGTAATGAAATATAACTTTTATACAAAGTAATTTGTACACAATGTAATTTTGAATCCAGTTTACTTTACCATTATCCTGGCTTTGAGAATTGTGTATAACAGTTCTTGGGGGGACACATTCTTGCTAGGATCATGATATAGACTACTAGGGGTAAAGCAGCTTTATTGAAAGCTATATCAAACTTGATATAATGTCTTCTAGTTAGTTCACACAGCCTAAAAAGAACAGCTAGTATATTTAAAATTCTTTAAACTGTGCTGCACATTCTACATGGGTGGTTTCTCTATTAGTATAACCACAATGTAGCATGATAAATGAATATTTTGTCACCAGAAAATTTAGCCACATTAAAAATTTATGTTTACCATGTATGTATGTACTCATGTGCTTCACTGTGTATGCTTGGTACTTGAGGAGGCTAGAAAGAGGGCGTCAGATCCCCTGGAAGTTGAGTTGTCCATGGTTGTGGGCCTCTGAGTGGATGCAAAGGACCATACTTTGGTCCTTCTGCAAGAGCATCAAGTGCCATCTCTCCAGCTTCAACTAGCCACATTTTTAAAATGAAAGTACAAAGTTAAAAATCATACATAAAAATGTTCCAACAGTCAAATCTGGAAGTGGAGGTTGCCCAAGGTTGGAGTTCCCAAGGGTGTACTGGGTTAAATAGTGCTCCTCACAAAAGTTATGTCTACCTAGAACTACAGAATGTGTTTTCACTTGGAAACAGAATCCTTGCAGATGCAAGTAGTTTAAGATAAAGTACCATTTGATGTGTCAGCACACACCCTTAGTCCCAGCAGTTGGTGAGCAGAGACAGGTGGGTATCTTGATTTCAGGGCAACTAGGGATGACACAAAGGTTAAGGGCACTATCTGCTTATTCTAGAGAACCTGGGTTCAATTCCCAGAATTCACATGGTAGCTCACAACTGTCTAAAACTCCAGTTTCAGGAGATTTGACCCTTTTTCTGACCTCTGAGGCCACCAGGCACACACACACAGACAAAACATTCATACACCTCAGTAAAAAAACTAAAAGAGCCCAAATGATTGCTGTGTTTATAAAAGAACTATATGAAGATAGTTACACAAGAGAAGAAAAACAGCCAGGAGAAGACCAAGGTAGAAGTCTGTGCAATGCAGTTATAGGTAGGTTAAGAAATAAATACCAAGGACTGCTGGCAACCAGCAGCAGAGAGGAGAGGGCATGGCGGTTTTGCCCAATCCCCCGAAAGCCAGATTTGGGATATGCGGCCTCCCAAACAGTGAGAATACATTTGTTTTAATCCATTAAATATGTGGTAGTTTGTAGAAGTCTAGAAAGCTAACACATGGGAAAAAGAGTGATTACTAGTACGTACAGAGTTTCTTTTGGAGGGATAATGAAAATATTGTAAAAATTTGAGGATTGCACATACTGAATACAGCCGCTAAAATGGTACAGTTTAAATGGGTGAACTATATGCCCATGGATTACATCTCAATAGCTGTCCACACATCAAAACTCAACAGATAAATCTGTCATATTTTTCAAATTCATTTTTAATTTTAACATTTTAGTCCATTATAACCTCTATATAGAGAAAAATTAAAAATGAAAGCACTTTCACAAATTTAAAAAATATTATTGAACAATACTTAGAATGAATGAAGAGTAAATCTATTTTAAGTTAAAAATATTTAATATCAGATAAAAACATTAATGATTGACAGTTTTACATGGCACATTTCATACATAGTCAAAGGGTAAAACACTGGGGCAAACTTAATAAGTGGTTTGGCAATTTGTTGTTCACATAAAAGCAATGAAGAGTGTGACATATTTAACGCCAATTATTACAAACTTTTAGAGAAAACGCAGTTATCTCTGACATGTTTTGCTGGGAGAAAGCAGTATCTTTTAATCCACACGATACTTGGCTACAGTTATCAATGCTTTTCTAGTGATCTAGACATTCTTCAGACAGCTTTTCTTCTGTTGGCTAACCACTTATTCTGATTGGTTCTCACTGTAAGGACTGAGGGTACAGAGCACTTTTTACATTGCTGAGTAAACTATAAATTAATGATGAGTACTAAGCTTAATAGTTTACATGAAAATATGGAATATTTCATTTAATTGGACTGAATATATTTCACAAATTGGGTATGGTGTTAAATCCCCAAATCTGTAAAGTTTTGTGAGAAAATGTGTATGCCTTGAGCTACTCTTGCTTTCTTTAAAATGGAATAGTTTGGCACTAAATAAAATAAATGAAGACAAGCAAAATACATAGTACTAGATACAGTTACTCTATCAGAGTTTACCATCTTGAATTACAATCCATACTACTACTAAGTTCTTGACCAAACAGAAACAAACAGACCTAACTACACAGTACTTACACAATATGAAAATAGAATCTAAAGCTAAGCTGGGCGGCGTCTCTGATGAGCATACCCCTTCTGCCAGAATTAGTTAGATATTTGAAATTCATATTTTCAAGAAATGCTTAAACTTTCCAAGTTTTCTGGCTGATAGGTTCTTGATTACATGGCCAGCTAAAATATGGTCTTTGAATTAAGTAAAGAGATCCAGATAAAATAAACTATTATTTTATTGGATCTAATTTATCAAAATACCAGACCAGAACTTCATAACCAAACTACTGGAACAAACCACGGATGGCCAGATTTCTGAGTCTCAGATGAGTCGGGGGCCCACTCATCATTCATGTTTCCAGGGTCTCTTCATTTGCTCCA